TTTGATTTCCTTGTGGTTTAAAGCTATTGTCATTTGTATCTGTCATAGCATTACATACATTTCCTCTTGGAAAGTATTTGTCTTGTCTTGAAATGTTACTTCTGGAGGTCTTTGATATTCCAGATTAGGTCCTTTAGGAGTAAGTATTAAATGTGGTTTTCTGTCACTATCCAATATCCATGTTGTCTTTCCCTTTCAAGTAGTCCTTCATCAGTGCCATATATATATTATCTTTATATATAGTTTTTATAATCCACTTAGTTCCAACTGTCATCAGTAAAATCAGTATTTTATAACAGTTCTTTTATTCAGGGGCCAGTTGTCAACCAATCAAAATTGCAGTTCAGTATATTTAGTCACCTTGAGTCCTTCCTGTAAATTCCCTCTTAAAAGATTAGCCCAGAGTCAAAGATTTTCTTTTTCTGTAAACAATTCTTGTGTCAAGATTGCTAACATCGCATGTTCTTGCTTGCCATATATGAAGAAGCAAACCTGTTTATTTAGCCTGTATACACTTCTAGAGTTAAAGCAGATAGTAATAGTCTGGTGGATGGGAAAATATGCTAGCTAATCATAACAATGTCTGAGCACAATGTGGACAAGGTCAGCCCAGCTGCAACAGGAGGGGCACTTCACACTTCACATTAATTGGAGAATGTGATTGATGACTGTAAAATGAAGGAGTTATGCTTTGTTACGGGTGTTTGGGAGAGGGAGGATTCAGTTTTTGGCTTAACTTTGTTAGTGCCGAAGCTATGCAGAATAATAAAAGATTCTTTTAGAGGAATAAGCCTCAAAATTCTTTGAAAAGCTGCTTCCTTTCGGAACCATGACATCTTGAGTTTAGACAACAGTAAGAGTATTTCTTTTCCTTCAGACACTTTTTAATCTTATGGTCCAGCTGTCTTCTTCTTCTTCTTTCAGGGAATAGATTATTCTTTGTTTCTGGGCATCTTGCCAATTTCTGAATCAGTGTTGTTAATGTTCTACGCCAGTGGTTCTCAACCTTTTTAATGCCGTGACCCCAACCGGTCGTAAGTTGAGGACTACTCAACCGGTCGTAAGTCGAGGACTACCCAACTGGTCGTAAGTCGAGGGCTTTCCCTGCCCGGGAGCACCACGCATGCGTGGTGCTGCCCCCTGCGCCGGCTGAGGCGTAGCTGGCAAGCGGCAGAGATGGAGCAGGCTGACCACCGGCTGGGCCACCAGCTGGCCCAGCCCAAGGGAGGTAAGGCACCCGCCAGGCTCCACACGTGCCAGCAACCCTCCCTGTGCCCGCTGGCCTCCCACCTCCCACCCCTGGCCCTCTTTTATTTACATTTTTAGTAGTTGCTTAGCAGGGAGGAGTGGAAACTTCCAGACAGCTCGCCTTCGCTGCAGACAACTTGCAGCACCGTTTGCAGAATGGGACTTTTGGCGGCTCAGCAGGGCAGAGACAGCCTGGACAATTCCTATTGGCTTTTTAAAGCCAATAGAATTAGACTCTATTCAAGAGAGTCTATTCCATTGGCTTTCAAAAGCCAATAGAATAAAAGGAAGTAGCACAGCTAAGGAAAAGGGAAAAAATGGCAGACTGCGTTGTTTGGCGACCCCCGTGAAATGGTCGTTTGACTCCAAATGGGGTCGCGACCCACAGGTTGAGAACCGCTGTTCTATGCTCTAGTTCTCCACTAGGTGTCAGTAGTTGTTTATTTTCCAGCTTTTTCAGACAAAAAATATTATTTATTATTATTATTTTTATAGTTTCATCAAAACCCTTTAAGGTATAATCTTAGCAGTTATTTTTTAATTTCTAGATTTATCCAGAATGTAGTATTTTAACTTTGATTTCAATATATTCCCCCTTTAAGGGTTAATTCACCATTTCCTTCTATGAGGGGGTGGGGGTGTAGTCCCCTCCCTTCACTTTTGGAGATTTTCCTATTTTGGGGATCTTTCCCAAGGACTTAGTTATAGAGTAGAGGAGAGAAGATCGACACTCTCAACAGTTCCAAAGCACACTGTTCACCGTTGCTCTGGTTCGTGCTCTTAGACTTCGGCTGCAAGTAGCTTGCGCTAGACGCTGGTGTGCAGCTAGCCTATCTCCTGTCGGGTTAGAGGGCTTTCCCTGGATCGAACGGAACAACCGCTGTCGTTCCATGATCATCGGGGCACCCCTCTTTCTTCGTCGCCTCTCCAGGGCAACTTCAAACCCATTCAGGGTCCCTGGCAGGGCGAAATCAGTGATGGGGTGCAGAGTTCCGCAATCCCATGGCTGCGCGCTACAGCACAAAATCCAGAAATCCTGGAGCACCAACAATTTCTGAAGACAAGCTACTCCATTGTTTGACTGCTCTTATCATTAGGAAATTTCTCCTTAGTTCTAGGTTGCTTCTCTCCTTGGTTAGTTTCCAACCATTGTTTCTTGTCTTGTCTTTTTAATATCTCTTGTTAATATCTCTTGTTAATATCTCTTGTTAATATCTTATTAATATATTCTTGGTCTGATTGTATAGCATTCTGTCTCTATTCCTGTAGGTTTCCTCTTTGGCACAACGTAGCTGCTTGAGCTTAGCTGTGAACCAAAGTTTATTATTACTGTATATGCACAAACTTTTGGTCAGCACACACATGATCTCACAAAAATTAACATATGATGTCACAGTAGCAGTGAGTTCATCCAAGTCTGCTGAAGCAGCTTCAGGGCAAACCTATAACTCCAACTTTGCCTCCTCAGTCCAAGACTTCACTGTTCTGACCACAGGTTTTGCAATTTTAAGTTTCTGTCTATAAACGGGTACAAGATGAACCAAACAATGATCAGTGGCCCACAGCTGCTCTTGATAAAAAATCAATAAGCATCTTTTAATATGGTGCAGCAGTGGTCTAAAATAGTTTTTGCCTCTAGTGAGACACCTGACATGCTGAGTGTACCTGGGCAGCTAGTATATAGTAGGATATAGTAGACTAATAGTAGATAATGTATGAAATATGTTTTCGAGTGGATGTATTTTAGATGGGCTTTTGTCAGGAATATAAGCATCTCTCTTTGAGCTAAGTTTTTTTGCCCCTGCATTTGACTGGAGGAGTCATCCCAATATAAGTTGGCCATATATCTTTAAGTATTTGTAGCAAGAGAATATAAGAATTATTCTGCAAAGAGCATTATCTTAGTGTAAACTTTTCTCCACTGTTAATCTGTTTTAGTAAAGAGTCTTATGTTCCTTATTTGCATTTATGTATACGTCTTGTTAAATATATCAACATTCAACAAAAATATATCTCACACCTATTTTCTAAGCTGAATGTTTTGGCCAAAATTATAGTTGATGGGTAGTTAGTAGAAAAAAATATTTAAGTTAATTTCTAGAGTACCAATCTTTCAAAAATTAATACACAAATCCACAAACTACAAAAAGATAAAACTTCTACCTTGTGCTAATATGTTCAGCTTCACACTCGCTCCAACAGTATACACAAAGAAATGAGAAGAAAATTCTTCCAGTTCAGGAACCATAGAAAGATATGATTCAACAAGTACAACCATAATTCAGTTCATTCAAAAATCACCCAAGCAGGATAACATTTAAGCAAATTACAAAAGAATTTTTTAGACCTTGGCAAGAGGGACTACAGTTCATTACAACTGGTAACACCTGAGCATTTGTTTATTTCTCTCAGGATGTGAAAAACTGCAGAAGAGAGACTATGCTAAGAAAATAGAGCATAGGCTATTTAAGAACACAGACTAAAATGTAGAATGTAGGCTGGAGATTTTAAAGGAAAACTGCCAGGATATACTGTAGGAAATTTATACCAAACTACCTCACTTTTAGCTATGAAGAGTATGCTATGGGTAGAAATTCCAAAAGATATAGTGACACATGATGGCAGAAATTATGAGGTATAAATTCTTCTCTTCCTTTATGCAGACTAACTGGATCACATGCAACTTAAGAAATATTATCTACCATATTTAATTTTGACTGATGTGTGCATCTTTTTTTTAAAGATTTCCAGATAATGGCAGTCTTTGTTCATGTATTGATCACATGAAATATATTCCAGTAATTACTGGACCTAATGGAATATTAGCAATATTCATTCTTGGCACTCAGAAACAAAGCTGAATATGACAATGTATTAATATAAAAATTCCATATAATAAGCCTGTGGTCTGATAAACTATAAGGTGAAAGGTAAATAAAAATTTAATCAGAATATCACCAGGTACTGCGGCAGGGAAAATTGTTGCATATTTAAAAAATACCCTTTAAATTGTCCTAGTTCGTTTGATCAGATTTCTGACTAATGCATTAAAAAATTTGTGAGATTTAGATGTGATACCTGCTTTTTGTCAAGCAAATGCATAATTTGAGAAAAATAATTAGTCATTTATATTTCATAAACTATTACTTCTAAATGTTAACTTTTAACAATTATTTTTATTTATTTATTTATTCCATTTTAGATTACTTATTTATTTTAAACTTGGAAAAATGTTACACTAGCATTTTAATCTCAGATCAATTCTATCAAGAATGCCATTTGTCAAATTATAGTTTTGCCTTTCTGGATTATTCTTCTTTCAGCTTTGTCCTTAGACAGCCCATATTTAGAATTGGACAGTAACTACTAAGTATACAAATTTTATGTGATAATCTATCAGTAACATTAATATTTATTCTTCAACTTAACAAAATAGTATAACAATGATAGGAATCTATGTATCCAAGTCTAAATTCTTCGAAGAAATAAACATTTCTTAGCAGACAGAAAAATAGAGTATCACCAAGTACAGTTAGATTAAAAACCTTTGTAACAAGCTTCAAAGATAAAATTTCTGTCTTACGATATGATCTTTAGAAAATGTATATGCAATATCTGCTGGTTCAGCTATTGGTTAATTATGAATTATTTTAGAAATGTTTCTTAATCCCATTAGCTTCACTCTATATCAAGAACATGCCATTTTTCAACCAACTCCAGACTTCAATGAGAAGATATTAAACTGCTCTTACCTCAGAAAACCTTCGTATATCCTGGGTCAAAGTTCCTACTCTTTTCCATTTGTAATGCTTGAGCAACTTTAAAATTGCTGGGTTCACAGCATTATCAGATGGCACTGTCCGGAAGAAATAAGGATATTTTTTCTTATCTGCTAACTCTGGTGTTGTTGCTGCAAATGAGAGCTGTAAGATAAAACAATTGTTGTACTTGTTAAAAAAAAATCAGTATTATCTATTAATCTAAAATTTGTTGAGGTGACTGTGTTATATTAAATTACAAAATAAATGGTAACGATGGGATACTAAAATGAATGCACATTGCTAAAAATAATTTCACAATCAGAAAAACCATTGATTGACAACTGGTAATTGTTAGCAGTCTACAGACCAATCTGCATTAATGGATTGACCAGATCAATTGTACTAGTGAGGATGCTTTCAAAAGTGCCCTATTAGAGAATCTACAGGTCATAGTCATACAGTCCTACCAGACATATAGGGCTGTTATCTAAGTAGATAACAATCAATTTCCACAATAATTAATAATGGTTACCAATCAGTTACAGGACAACAAGACTGCTAATACAGACATGCAATCATGTGCCTATGTATACACACACAATATGTAGAGGAGACCCAGGAGGTTTAGGACCCATCATACCTTTAGGAAAAGCCTACAAATCCAAATAACAACTAGTTTGCATGATGTGGACTGGGCCAGCTAAATATATAACCAAGGAAATTAAGATGGCAGAACTTACAAAAAAAGAATAAATGTGTATTAGTCTGACCAGTGATTTTTTTGTTTAAAAAAAAAAAAGGTGCCGGAACTCATACACATCATACAACCCACCTTGCCTACCCTACAAGGTTCCATCCAAAAAAGGTGCCGGAACTCAGTTCTGGGCGTTCTATGAGAAAAAAAGCCCTGGGTCTGACACCAAGAAAGCAAATACTGAAAAACATGTGAAGAACATTTCAGTCCTCCAGGACTCTGAATTTCAAATAGCTATTCTTGGAGAAATGTTTATGCCCTAGAATAAAATATCTCGATTACAATATAATGTATTTAGCATTAAAATCTAAATCAAGATAATACACATGTATTCCATTGCAAGAGTTAATTTAACAGAAGGTGGCAGTATCTAACCCATCTTGACTGAAAAATCTCTAAGCGGGTTTGGATTGTAATTGATATGAGATCATCAGGAAATCCCATAGCTGTAGGAAAAACCAGTAAATTTTAAAAAAAACATCCTTATATTATATATATATATATATATATATATATATATATATATATATATATATATATATTTGAGAAAATTAAAAATATGAACCCTGGGAGTATTCATGGTGAGAAATAAAATGATCACCAGGGTAATAAAACTATAAAATTTATTTAAAAAGCGCCTAGCTTTCGCCGTCACCTGCCGGCATCCTCAGGGCTAGTGCGCCAGGGAGTGAGAGAGTCACTTTTATAGGTGTACTAAAGTCTGCGCACGACTCCTCGACCTCGTCATCGGGCCTAATTGGTATGACTGCGCACGGCTGATCTGTTCCTTCCCGTTCCCCCTGTCGGACCAGGACGGTCAGCTTGGGAGGGAGAGAATCGCAGAGCATGATCGGAGGCGGACCCATGAGAATTGGAGAGAGAGAAAAAACGCAGGAGACCGGACCATCATACCCCCCACTTGCGCATCCCGGAGAACTCCGGAGGACTCGTATGGTTACCAACGACACAAGAGGGAGGAGGCAAACTGAGGAGAGACGTCGCGATGCACAAATGGAGCGAGATTCCATCATTACCCCCCTCGGACCGATCACCCGCAGTAGGGGACGTGCAGGACGGTTAGGCGTGGTGACGACCGGAGAACCGCCGCCCCCCTCCACCTACGATCGAGCGGTCTATCCTCCAGCTCCGGACCATCGGCGAGTCGCACCCGCCTGGGAGGGACCTGCGGGATCATTTGGACGGTGTTTGTCCCAGGGGGAGGAGCGAGGGCATGGTTTCGCCGTCGCTCCCCCCGGACCGACCGACCATGGTGTGGTGCGCGCGAGGCGGCTGGACGCAGGGGTGATTGGGGAGCTGTCGTCCCCCCCTCCCGTGACTGAACGGCTTACCCCCCAGCCCCAGACCACCAGTGGATTACAGCTATCCCGGAAAGACCCGCAGGACTGTCCAGATGACATTTATATAAGAAGTGAAAACATCAAAACCAAAGGAAAAACTTGCCGTAGGAAGAACAATGGGACGAAGGGGGATCGCAAAATAAACATGAGATGTGTACTGCCACCTGACCCCGGGGGGGAAGAGTTAAAACATAGAGACCATTGCAATAACAGAGGCATTTACCCATCCACCCCAAGATTGAGGGAAAGAAGGATGGATGAGGATGAACATGTGATCGAAATGAACGGGAAGGAACAGATCAGCCGTGCGCAATCATACCAATTAGGCCTGATGACGAGGTCGAGGAGTCGTGCGCAGACTTTAGTACACCTATAAAAGTGACTCTCTCACTCCCTGGCGCACTAGCCCTGAGGATGCCGGCAGGTGACGGCGAAAGCTAGGCGCTTTTTTAATAAATTTTATAGTTTTATTACCTGGTGATCATTTTATTTCTCACCATATATATATATATATATATATATATATATATATATATATATATATATATAACCATAAAATCAACTCAAAGCAGTTTTCCTCCTTTACATCAGCTTACTAATACTAGGTTGTTTGAGATATTGCTATTGCTTTATAAATTATTTTTATTTTGTGTACAACTGTCAGAACTCTATGTTCTATATGCATGGGATTTCTTATTCTTTTCGGATTCTGTCATTCTCCTGGGGGGAAGGGGGAAGTTTGAGGTGCCAATGTGTATTTGCTTTGTTCTGCCTCTTGCTCTATCTTCTTTGATGTGTCTCTAACGGCGTGAGAATGGAATGTACCTCCGGCCATATGCCTTATCTCCAAGCGCGGAAGAAATGGTGCAGACACCTAACAGCCTTGGAAGCGGCGCCTTATCATTCTGTTCCCATGGTGTTGTCACACCTGTGGATTGGCCTGTTTGAACCATCAGGATGAACAGTTAGGGTGGGGTTATTATGGACACTTTTAATTACTTGATTTGCATGGGAAACTCTCAGATCCTGCCTTCTATTCCTGCTGTCAACACCTCCCAATAAAAGTTCCTTTTGAAATGATGCTGTTTCAAGAGTCCTCCTTTCTTGGGAGAACTGATTGAGGCGGGTCCTTACAACAACATAATCTTAATTAAAATGTCACTGTTTATATTTCTTCCATTTCATTTTGAATTTCTTCCATTTCATTTTCCTGTACAGAAATATTCATGCAATCAGCCATCATACACAGATGAAGTCCACCTTAGCTGAAATCCTGACTTTGTTTGTTTTAAGGATGTCCACGTGTAGAAAAGAGGATGGTGATTTTCACTGATCCCTTTTCTCCTAAATCTAATCCTTGAACCTGCTCTGGAGAGTTGGAGAATCATCTATAACCACTCAATGGTTATAGATAGGGAATCAATCAAAATTATTTCTCCATCAGTTGGATTTCAATCAGGTCCATAAACAGATAAATTTATTCTATTTGCAGAAAGATATTCAGCTACTATGTATGTATTGCTGCCAACTCAGAATAATATTTTATGAGTCCAGTGAAGTGAGCTCAGGTTTTATCATAAGCCACAAGTATCTTTCTTGCTTCTGCTATCTGTAACGTAGATGATAATCTCAATTAATTTCATATTAATGTTTTGCAAAATACATTTTGACACTACTGAGAATAAAATTCTGCAGAAACTATTGGGCATTTTCTATAAGGACATTTATCTCAGTCCTGGAAAAGATAACAGGACCTGAATCTGAATCATTTTTAATGCCAAGCTTATGCCCTACTGTACCATGACAATACTATGATGTTATTGAATAAAATTTCTTCTCCTCAGTGAGATTTTTTCTCCCGTTCCTAGATATTTCATTCAATTCCCAAAGCATATCCAGAAAGTTATGATACTACCATGAATACTATGAAAATTTCACATACCCACTGATTGCACTGTTAATTCAAGAGAAGGATTAGGGGTGACATGATAGCAGTGTTACAATATTTCAGGGGCTGAAGAGGGAGTCAAGCTATTCTTCAAAGCAGCTGAAGGCAGGACAAGAAGCAATGGATAGAAATTAACCAAAGAGAGAAGCGACCTAGAACTAAGGAGAAATTTCCTGACAGTTAGAACAATTAATCAGTGGAACAACCTGCCTCCAGAAGCTGTGAATGCTCCAACACTGGAAGTTTTTAAGAAGAGACTGGACAGTCATTTGTCTGAAATGGTATAGGGTTTCCTGTCTGAGCAGGGGTTTCAACTAGATGACCTCCAAAATCTCTTCCAACTTTATTATTATTGTTGTTATTATTATTATCCATTTTCTTAATCCTAGAAGTCTCTTTTGAGCCATTCTGACCACGCATCATTTCACAGTCTAAGAAGCAGAAGAAATGACAGGAGGAAACAAAGCTATGCAAACCAATCACCCAAACCTATTCCCACCACCAAATGGGAAAAAATTGTGATTTCATTCATTCACTTAAGTCCTTCAGCCAAGACATAACATGATGAATGTACAAACTATCAATGGATATTTTTTTTACTTCAGCAATTTTTACCAAATTCTAAAGTACTTGATTCGGTAGTTATTTATTTTACATTAAGCTCACATCCCAAATTTATTTTGGAGAAGTCAAGGCAGCATATAAAATCCATACATTTAAATATTTCTTCCTTAATCTTTCTTTAAATTCACACTAATTCTTTATACTTTAAATTCCACTGCTGACATCGTAACACTAATTAAAGCCTCTTATGAATACACCATCAATGTTACAATACTGTTTTTTTTACACATGAGATAAATAGAAATGGATAATTATTTAAGATGAATAAGTTATCTTTATTTATTTAAGATTAAATGTCACTAATAACCTATGAACTAATATTTTAATGAAGTTATATCCTTAACAAACTTAATGATCTTAAGCAAAGCATATGGGTAGTCCTTGACTCACGACCATAATTGAGCTCAAAATTTCTGTTGTTAAGTGAGACATTTGTTAAGTCAGTTTTGCCCCATTTTACAACCTTTCTTGCTTCAAT